ATATATATATATATATATATATATATATATATATATATATATATAATATACGTATCGGGGTTTTGGAAGAGAGATTAGGATTGAAAATCTTTTATTTTCTTGGTGAGGAAGGATGGAAAGAATTAAAATTATTTCATATCTCCTCAATATCAAATAACCAAAATATATATATATAAAAAAACCAATCTAAATCAAATGAGTATTAAAATAATAAATCAAAATACTCCCAAAATAATGATGAGTAACCATAAATAACACAAGTTCGGGAGAATAAAGGGAAGGATCGATCTCATAGTCCTTGTCTTCCAAAATTCCTTGGGTGAGTATTGCTTGTCTTTTCGTCTATGAAAAAGCTTAAGCATGCGGCAGAAACAGAGGAGACTCTGTCCACAGCCATGGCCGACGATAGAATATCCAATTTGCCAATACATACACTTCACCGTATTCTCTGTTCCCTCTCCCAGAAAGAAGCTGTCCGAACATGTCTACTCTCCAAACACTGGCGCTACATAGGATCAACCCGCCCCAACCTCGAGTTTTCTGAATATTGGTTCGACAACACACAACAAAACTTTGTCTCGGTAGTCAGCCGAACCCTACAAGGATACCTTGATCAAAACCTCTCCATACACAAACTCCATCTCCACTTATCCAGGCCGATGGTCTCCCTTCTCGACAAATGGATACAGATAATAGCCGCCCTCGGCATAAAAGCGTTCAAACTAGACATTTTTTCTTCTACTTCGATGTATTACGACCTGCCCTCGGCAGTCTTCTTATCCGACTCCCTCCAAGAACTACACTTGTGCCAATGCAGGTTGAGCCAAGTCGAGAGCTTGCGGTTCAAAAGTCTGCACACGCTCACCCTCAGATCGGTCCAAGTTGATGGCGGGACTTTTGAGACAAAAACGTTGAGATGCCCTTTGCTCAGGCGCCTGGTCATTAAAAGGTGTTGGGAGTTGAGAAACGTTTGGTTGAGCGAGGCGCCTGGGCTCAAGCACTTTGTATTGTCGGATTACAAGAGGATTGAAGGGGGTAGCATTATAATCGATGTCCCGAATCTCGAGACAATCTTTATCCGTGGCCCATGGATTTGGTCTCCCCACCGAAGCACATTCTTGTTTTCTCGTCTCACGAGTTTGCATCTCTGTAATGTGATCCTGTCGAGCGAGTCAATCGACATGTTATCGTTCGGCTTCCCGACTCTTGAAAGCTTGGCTCTAGATAATTGCTCCGGTTTCGAGGAATTACATCTTGCAAGTGATTCGATCAAGC